GCTTCATCCATTTTGGTGGCCTAACGGACTCAAACACTTAGCACAACATATTCTCAAGAATGATTCACATGGGTGCTGTTGACTTGTCGGCCCAACATCCACTGAATTAGAATCCATGCATGTACATGCAACTACTTACCCATATGGATCAGCAAATGTCTACCCATGTCCCAACGATGCTCAAGGAGCCAAACAAATAAATCACTCCTGAATGCTTGTATTACACGAAAACCTTGACATGAAACACTCTTGTTAAACATAATGCACCTGAAATCAAGAACTGGATTTGACAGCTATTTGCTTCAAGAACTGATGGCATTTGAATTTCCAATGCTTCTATTCTCATGTACTGTATTGCATGTATTGCATGAGTGTTATCGTTTTTTTCTTCTTTTTTTTTACATAACTCTTTATCGTTTTACAATGAACCAGCCATGGTTTGCTAAAACGGACCACTGCTTACATTTCTCCTAGGTGCCGTTTTTTTTTTTAAACATCAAGTGGTTGCACAACATGATTCCTTATTTTTGGACCTTACACATGTTGCTGTGCATACTGCTGTGCATCTTTGGCATTGAGAGCAAAGTTTTGAATGACTATTCTCACTGCCTGGGACCACATAGATCACCACGATTTCGGTCACTTTGATCATGTGGACCTGAATGGCAGTCCATCAAACATCCCCAAATGGCACTGGTCTGCCTCGTGTGTGGCTCGCGTGTGTTCGACATTGGCTCTGAGGTGCTGGCTCGAAATCGGCCCTTGGGTGGATTACAGAGCAACCGGCTGTGAATCTTCACCTGCGACAACTCTTCCCATGACTCACTCTCTCAAACTCGATCTGGCTTTAGTTCACATCCCTGTTCATCGCTCAAAAAGTAGAGCCCTCAGGATCTTTATGGGTTTGCTGAAACACTGCACAGTCGAAGTATCGTGAAACACTTTGATCCACCAAGCACAGACTGCACAGACAGAATCCTCCCGTGACCCTTTTCATCACCAATGCCTCGGTGCCAACCACCGCAAGCTCTGGGAAGTTGGGTGAATCGAAAGCGCTCAGTGAGCCAGCGTCCTCAGCGTTCGACGCCAGTCCTCTCAATTTTTCTGGTCACTTTTCTTCCGATCTCCCTATTCTGGGGTGTCATCTGAATCATCTGAAGTCCAAGATCTCTTTCTTTGATCGAACTATCCCCAAATGCTTCCAGGGTGCATTTAGACGGTCCTACTTCAACGGTTGCATGCTTATCATGCTTGAGTTGGTTGACAGGCCAGTTCTGGGCTTTGAAATGCAGTGGTCATGCAACCTAGCTGTTCTCGGTGCCGTATTTGGTTCACAAACACAAACGTTTTCAAACATTTAATCACGAAAAGGCCTGACGCGAATACCAAACAACTGCAGCTTGCTGCACCTTGATCATTGACTGCCTAATCTACTCAGGTAGCTTTCGTGGGTGTTGGGACTTTCAGTATTCCTGGAGCAGTCAAAGCATTGTGCTAGAGTAGCTTGGAACACTGTGGCTTCGTTTGAAGTCTGAAGCGATGCTCAGGCAAGTGTCCATCTTTTTGGAGCGGTTGCCACGATACAGCTTGCCTGAAAAGGCATCTTGGCGTGGAACAAAATCATTTTAGCCAAGCGTAGCATGCCACTGCAAGGATTAATATATATAACTGTGAACATTTGTAGGCACTTCATTGATGGTGTCCACATACTTCTGTAGAAGGACACCACAACATCGCAGGTATTCACTGAACTCAGCCCCTTTCCCGGAGTAAGTCACAATGTCTTGAAATTGAGAGGAAGCAACAACTGGTGGTGCAACTAGCCTCCACTTTCAATAACCTCTCGAAGAATTGTTGATGATAGTAAGTGAAGCATGGCACCTCCGATTTGTTTCTCCAATGATGGTCCAGAGTGTCAAAGGTGTAAACAATTCTTATGGTGGATGCATCAGTTCTAGCGTTTGCATGCAAACGCAGGCAAAATACTCCCCAAGCCCCTAAGGCCAATGATTCGAGCTGCTGCTGAAGAAGATGCAAACCTCCGTCAAATCCGCCCGACCAGCGAAAGTGACCGCTCTGAGTAAGTTGGAGCGGGCGTCCTCAGCTTACTAATCAATTGTATTAAGAAAGAAAGAAAGAAAGAAAGAAAGCAAGTGTGAAAATGTTGACACATGTTCTTTCGGTCTGGATCTCAAAGAACTCATTCATGAAAACAAGAAGGGAAGCTTCAGCATGTTGAACAGGTGAAACATGCATGATAATTTATGAATATTTGTGATGTACGTTCATTTCAACATCTTTCACATCAACCTTTAAGTAGGAGTCCAAGATCATTTGCCAAATTTGCGTGCGGCATCCCTTCGCCAAAGGCGATCATGTGGCATCCCTTCGCCGTTTTCTCGTCCTAGCATCGGTCAAAGGCTCTTCAAGCGGCAGCTGCGAGCCTCCGTGCTATGCGAACAGCGTGGAGAAATGACATGGGATTCATTTGAAGTTGAACATGTTGAAACTTTAGTGTTCAACTGGTCGATTGGAATCGCCCAATAACAAACAGGATTCTGCAACATGAGCAAGTGCAATCGCACAGTCGATCCTCTCTTATCCAACGCAACAACCACTTCAGAATTGCTCTTTTGTGAACAGTCCTTGATCAGTCAAGGGACCTCATGAGGGTCTGTCCGATGAGAAGAATAGCTGAGAAGAAGCAAGAATCAATAGTGAGCAGGACGGCTTCAGGACGATCACGGACGAAGTTCTCGACAGTTCGCCAAACAGTTAGGAGCAATCAAAGCAGCCCGAAGCACCTGTTAAGATTACAGGCTTGCCAAGGTTCTCAAGCATAAAGCTCAAGGCAGAAGCAGTATAAGCCATGGTATCCTTGGCTGCATTCCTCTCTTACCCCAGTCAGCGTGTTGCGTTTTCGCTGAATTTTGCACCTATCAACCCGGTCAAGGTTCCAGAACTCCCTTGGAACACGCTATAGCCGCTAGATGCGACCAAGATGCCAAGCATATCCAAGAAGGTCCCCGGTGGTACCCCCAAAAGAAGGAACAAAAAGAGAACCAGCGGGCGCAGCGGGCTTCATGAGTTTTTATCATATTTTGATAGCCAGTACACCCTTGAAGCCGGGCAGAAAGGCCCGATTCGAACAACAAGTTAGGACTTGATTCACTTGATCATCTCGACCAAGTGGCAGTTCCATGGCAGACCTTGGCAAAGGATCTGCTCCCTACTGTAGGTGTGCTCATGGTACGTACTCATTTCAATCACAAACACTTGTCATGCTATAGCACATCATTAAATCCACACAAAACATCCACATATATGTTTGACATCAGGTTTTGGGGTCAAGGAACCGGAGCTCAAGGGTCCCAAGATACGCCCTCGCCAATCATGTTCATCATTAATCATTCTTCTGACACATTGAGTCTAAACTGCCAGTTTAAGTCTCAACATTTAAATGACTTTCCATGTCTTTCCAGCATTTGCAGATGACCCATGAGCCCCGGACGACAAAGCCATCAAAGTCGTAGTAGTGCTGCTCAATGCAACGTGCGATTGTACACCAATCAGCGGGACACCTCCGCTGTGTGTAGGCGTGTAGGATCCAACTTCGTGAAAAAACGGCTGGGCAGTGCACTTGGCCGTATGTTGACATCAACAAATCAGGCCAATTCATGCAAGGCATAGGACTTGGCAGGAGCACCACCATGGTTGATGTTCATCAACTCAAGCAATCTGGCACCTACCCAACCCAATCCTCCCACCTCTCCCGATTTCAAGCAGCTAGTCGAGACCACGAAGCCTTCCCCCCTTTGTATCATTTGCTGAGCCACATGTCAGCTGAGTCAAGAATGGGGTCGAACTCCTCGAAGAAACACTGCGGAAATATGTCCTGTCAATGATGTCTCGTAGGTAGGGAGCATGGATGCCATTAAGCAGCTTCTGATTATACAGTTGATGAAGATAAAGACAAAAAATGATCAAAAATGATCATCTGCAATTGGAGATAAGCCCGACCGCTGACCGCCTACCCCAAATATCTGTTGTCAGGCATCTCAATTGACCTGTATATCTCAACTTCCCTGAACCCAAACATCCCAAACCCGATGAGGTCTTATCTTTTCCTCCCTGTGCAAATGTCTCGACCTGCAGCACGAGTGACCCAATCCAACAATTCCAACATATTTGATGCGCCTGGTTGAGTTCCTCGATTTTCTTCAGACGAAGTTCAAGTGCTCCTGGCTCTGGCTTCAAACTCCCATCCTCGCCCTTCAGCATTCCAATAGTGCCACCTGTGTTCCTCAGCTGCAGAATTCGCACATACAACTGGCAAGCACACTGGTCACCACGGGCAACATCAGCTACAAAGCATCCCTCACACACAGTTGTCGAGTTACAAAACCAAGACTTTCCGCCTGGAGCTCCTTGGCTGCAAAGAACGGTGGCACAAATGACGCTTTTGTGCACCACCAAACTCATTTGCACAAAACCTGAAAAGACACGCAGCAGCGCTTGGTGAGATCCATGCGCAAACAAGCGCATGTGTCCGTTCGCCAAGGCACCCACCGGCGTTCAGCAGCTGGGGCTCTGAAATGACGACTTTGGAAGCTGGGGAATCCATGGCTCCCTTCATGACTTTGGCTTTTGATGGCTTTCCAATGCTCCTTCTCTCTGGATGGTTTCCTTCTCTCCGTTCTGTTTCCTTTTGTGATGGTTTTCAACTTTCTCTCTCTTGAGTTGGTCAATTTTTGAAGGCGCTTCGTTGATGGAACCCCAAAATGTAAGAACATGCTCAGGTCTCTTTGGGCTCCATGACATATTGCTGCTTCCCTGAAGAGAAAGGCAAATCAGCAAAACATCACTCGGCCAGCAAGCCCTTACCTACCAACCTACCAAACCTTGATTCAAGGTCAACTACCCAAATCTGATGCATCAATTGTAGCATTCTCCCTGGATCTGTCACATCCCCTTGAACGATCTCTGGATATCTCTGGTGCCTCATCCTGTTGAGGAGCCAAAGCCATCACAGGAATGAACGAGGAGGCGCTCCTCAAATGCAACACTCTGCAACAAACACGAAGGCTTCACCTGTCACTTGCTACCCAGAAATTTACTCCTGACAGCATGCTTATGCAACGACACAATCGAAGAGACATGTCTCGCTCTGAAGATTTCACCAAAGGCTCTGAATCATGTAGTGGCCTCCCAGGTACTCAGGAGTAGCACCCACCGGCACTTGTGATTGGTAGACCTTCAAGCCCACTTTTGTCCAGCTCCCAATGGGATCAACCTGCACCTGTCCAGACTCTGCCGGCCAACGCATACATTTCAATCATCCCATAGTGCACCATGTGGACGAACACATTCTGCTTCGGATGTTTTCTTAACGCAATGCACCTGGCCTTCCTCTGCGTCAGCGCTTGTAGCAAGGAGCTTCGCCGAGCCTCTAAACCACTTCAGGGCATGGCTTGGAGTTGGAAGGTTCCTTTTTTATTGCGTTGACTTGGCCACACAAAAGAAAGTCATGAATGCAACGTGATTTGCCAGCCTTCAAGGTGTTGGTTCGAAGTGTCAAAGGTCGCTGTTGCTCGTTGGCCTTCGTCAGCACGGTGAGTGACCAGCTTGACTGCTGTTCTTTGATGTTTCCGCGGACCCCCACCTACATTTACTGTAGGTATTGCCAGCTTTTCATAGCTAGGCCTGGTTCTCCTTGCAGGATATACATCATCATGTGCAGTGGCTCACCGGTTCAGACAGATTCTATTCAAGGCAACAGGACAGCTTGATCATTAAAAGCAAAAACAAACACAATTGTATTGTTTATATATATATACATAGTATTCATTCATCACGTACTCATACCTCAGTGTTGCGTCCCCAAACGAAACTCTCCACCGTCCGGTCGCTGGCCTCGAAGAACTTTACTGCAGTCTCTGGGCTGAACATCTGCAGGAAGTACTCCTGGGTTGGACTCAACCAGTATTCAACCAGTTATGGATTCAAAATGGGTCAAACGACACGCAGCCGTAGCATGATAATTTTGTTTCAAGAAGTCTGAAGTCTAATGAAGTCTATCCACAAAGTATCCTTCACCATTCGTCTACAATTCCACAGCATCTCCAGCCCAAAGTAGCCAAGTCACGGCCAGTTCTTCGGAGTATCCGAAGTATGTTGAGCAGTTGGACACCAGGTTCTTAAAGACCTCCCCCACCAGGTTCTTTCAAACCGGCAACTCCCGTTCCCTGTAAAACTTGGAACAAAGTGTAGAAAGCGTAGCAACGCCTGTGCTCGAACATTCTGAAGCAAGCAGTAGTAAGTCGTAAGCAGTTCTGTGCTTCAACCACTGCTAGTCTTAATTCCGACTAAGAGTTCTCATTGCTATTTTTGCCTAGATGTTTGGTTGGAACTCAACAACTTGTGGATGCATGGTGCTTTTCTTTAACGTTCTTCTCCGCCCAAACAGCACCTCCTCGCGAGGTCTCTTCTCACCCAGTTCTTGCCTCAGGTACCGAATGGATGGAGAACCGTAGCATTTAAAGAAAGTTGCTTTCTTTCCTGACCCAGCTTTTCTGGAGCATGTCTGTATTCAGCTTGAACGAGAGCTTCGTAGTTGCATGAGTGGCTTGAACGAGGAGAAGGAACAGGCAACACGCCAACATTCCAATTGAAAGACAACGTGTCACCGGACAAGACGTCACAGTTGAATTACACCTGCATTTGATATAAGAAATGTCAGAACCCCTTGTTGTTCCATTTGTGCTTATAAGAGATCCCTGGACAGATTCGAGTCAAAGTGAAAGCAAATGCTTGTATAATACCAAGAGATTCAGAATGTGATAACAGCATAGATGCATGCAAAACCTGTATCAAGTGGTGGACAAAACTTTTCGTTTCCGAAATGCCAAAACCATTTTGGGTTGGCCCCTATTGGTTTGCAGTGTTTTGGAATGTGGGCAATGCGCTACTTACCCTATCGGCCTTGCAAGGTTTTGATCAATTCACAAGACTAAAGGCAGCTCATGGCCAAAGTATATACATGCGGAAGTTTTGTCAGAGGCAAAATGTACTTATGCGTGGGCAACATGTGATTTCTCCCGCTGTTACAGTCAATGCTGCCACGGGGCGCCTTCCTCCAGTTGCTCAACAGGCCTGCATCATCTTGGATCTCTTGCTTGAGGGCTGTGAGATCCATCTGCTTGCCTGGGAGCTCGACTTCAAGAATGGGAGACTTCACTTGGGGTAGGAAGTTCACAAAGGGGGGATAAAAACAAGAATTAACTCATGCAAATTTCACACCAGTACCTCCAATATCAGAACAAGTTTGTGCCTTGCCCACCCAATCTTGCCACTACCCTTCCAGCTTCCTTTTCAGGTCACTTAGCTATTCCATGCTTTTCCTCTGTCCGATTCCAGTGAGTGTCTTTCGTGTCTTTTCGGTTTTGCTTTCGAGAGCTGGAAGGCTTCCGGTCTCTGCCAGGCAGCCCTCTGCAACACGTGCCAGGATCCGGGATCCCATCTGGGCATCACCCGCCTCATGAGCCGGTGAGGAGTTGGACATTTGCTGTTCCTCACCGAAGAGGGGGGGGAGTTGGACCAGCCAAACACCTCAATTTGTCCGAATAGGTTGTCCATTGAAGATCCCCTCATAGAGCTTCGTCAATTCTGGGAGCTCCAAGTCCTGTAATCCAAAGTGAAACTCACACATGCACCTCATTGTCGTCGTCTGCAGGAGGCTCATCATCGTCGGGAGGTGCCTCCTCTTCCTCCTCCGGTGCCTGGACTGCTGTCACAGAGGTGCATTCTTTTTTTTGCAATTTCTCAAATCCGGGGTCACCCCAACATCATGTTGAAGAAGCAACACACATAAAATATGTACAAGTCAACACCCGATTGGTCAGAAGCCGATTTGACAAGATACAACTCACAACTCTGCCTGGTCGATGCCCTCGCCATCGTCACTCCCCAAATCTAACCTTAGCTTCTGAGCAGACAGGCTTTCTGCACAGTGCTATGGAATTTCACGTCGTTTCCTGGTATTGGTAGCCGAAGCAGAAACGGCTGCAAGAGATACCACCACTCCAGCCTCTGTCGTGTAGCTATTGACAAAAGCACAAACATCTAATATCACTATAACTAATAAAAAACAACAAACAACCAATCGGGGAAACTGCTTGCCATACCAAGCAGCCATGCAAAACCTCTCCAGACTCCAAAGTAGTCAGTTTATTGTTTATCTCAATTTCTAGATATCCTAAATACACACCACACTCCCACATCGTTTTCAAAAAAATCCTTTACGCTGTTTCACGTCGAAGTTGAAGAGCTTTTCTCTGTCCACATCCAGGGTCCGGGCTCATTTTCACCTTCAGCCTCATCTCCAAGCCAATCCTCCTGACTCAGAACACGAACCTACTGTCGAACCTGGGTACAGTGTCCCTGCCAAGGTGTTGCTGCTCCTGTCCCAATCACTTAGGTTGGCTCTACCGAAAATCATAACAAGCAAAGGTCGGAACTCAAATCAAGCTCAAAGTCTTCTTCGGGTTCTGAACAAAAACAACAAATGCAACTGGAAGAATAACAAACAGCTCTTATTCTCTGAGTACCATTGGCTTTTCATTCTATGCCCACATAAGCGAACACCCTGCCAGCCCCGCCTCAGGCTTTATTGCCTTTGGGGTTTTGCTCTTCGCGGTTTTCGCCGCCCGCTTCTTCTTCATGGCTCGAGTGCAGTGTGTTGTGGACGTTCTGGTGCCTTTGGTAACTGGGCTGTGCTGGGTGAGGTTGCACTTTGAAGTACCAAAGCAACTGGCATGTGAAACTAATCTCCATCAAGAGTCCAAGTTCAAAGCTCTAAACTCTAATTGGTATGTAATCTGACATAGTCTGACAAGGGGAAATGAGGTGGAGCCTCTCTTCAGGGTGCGCAGTAGCAATGTGCCAGGAGCAAACGCCTGCAGAAAAAACAACCCTTGTGATGGCTCAACTTGCCATTTCCTTGTTTCTTTGGTTTTGTTCCCATGAAACAAGTTGTGCAATAGCGTGCATTGCTGGCTCATTTCTTCTTCCGAATCTGTGAGCAAAGAAGGCACTTGTGGGCCAATCCGTATCCACTGTAAATCGATGGCTGCTGGAATCAGCACAAACACTAGCACGGGACATGCTATGTAGGCCAGCAAAACCACCGGCCAAATAGGAAGTGGCTTCTTGGACAGTTCTCTCAAGCGCTCTTGGATGAAGTCTGCATTTCGAAGCGGTGGTTCAGGAATATCCTCGCCACCTTCCTGCTGTGGAAGCAGCTGCCAAACCTCTGTTTGGCATCAGGGTCAAAACGATTTAGTCGGCATCCGACAAAAAAAAAAGAAGAGTAAAACTACAGCTGGCACACCTGGTTGGCGAGCATAGTCAAAGGCCCGAAGCCTTTTGCACTCTCCGTGCTCTTCTCTTCGGTCATTGCACCAGAACTCTCTAGAAAGCTTCGAGCTCTCAGGAGCCATTCCTGAGCCTCCTCGTGTGAACTGCGCTCCTCTGCAAAGGTCGTCATCAGCTGCGGCAGCAGCGCTGCGTTGGAAGCCAAGAAGCGGCGGGAGAAAGCGCTGTCCTCGAAGATCACCTGCAATCGATGCCCAAGCTCCTTGCAGGTGCTTGGTGGCAAGGTAGTGCAGTGAGGAGCTGCTCAACCAGGACTTCATGTGAGGTCGGGGTATTGACCCGTAGCCGTAGCAGTAACAAGTGTAGCGCTGCCGGTGTCTTTTTAAACAATATACTTTAAAGGACCATTGCTCTTTTTGGCAGTGTCACGTCTTCCTGGGGCTCCAATCTGCTACAATCAAAAACCAAGGAACGACACTTCCTGCCAGCTGGTGTCTAAGAGTGAGTCCTCCATATCGACACTAAATCAATCTAAATCAACATCTGGCTCCTGCACGTGAGCTGGCCCACACAGGACTAAGATATTGTCGGGATCGATCTGCGCACTTTCCACGTCTTGCCAGGATGGCAGCTCCCGAAGGGCCTTTTGCGGATGCAAACTCCAAGCCATGGCCTGGGAGGGATGACGCGAATCACACAGCAAGCGTTGAAATCTCGAGACCATTCTCAAAATTTATGAAGACACGTATGCTGTATGATCATGTATGATCTGTATGCAGTATGCATTCGATATCATGCTATTACCTGCAGTTTACTAGGAACAAGTGCATCGCTACTAGTAACAAGTGCCTTACTAGTAGTAACAAGAAACTATTAGAACCAATAAGCTAAACTGAGGGACGTCATTTAGGCGGCTTTTCTCCCGCAAGCGTATGCGCTCCAGAAGGGTGGACAATGGCAAGTCGTTGTGGAACGCCTTGCCTCAACAGGGGCAAATGATCAATGCCGAACAGTGTGACTGCTTAAAACAGCCCGCACCATGATAAGGAAGCTCACAAGGCATGTGATTCTGTACTTTAGTTGAACGATGAGTAATCAGTAATCAAATGCAATTAGACTGCCTAGATTCAGACTGGAGAATTTGTAACATCAAGCTTCAACATGCTTCAACCAAGCAAGAAAATGTCCGCTGCACCACCCACCCAGCAAGCCCACCTGTACGAGATCGGGGGCCTTGAGCCTTCAAACGGGACTCCAAGGCAAGCAGTATCCGGTATGTCATGAGCTCATCCCGTTCCTGGATTGGAAGAGGTCACAGCATCACACCCATCCCCCAAGCAGACATAGAGGTGAACATTGATTGCAAATCATGTTCCATGCTTCCATGTTTCTGTGACGAGCATCTTCCAGGATGACCTCATGCAATGCAGGGCAATTCTTCCGCAAGGAAGCTCTCCATGCAATTGGATCGAGGTGCTCGGGCACCTCGCCCCAAAACTTCCTGCCACCATGTGCGCATATGCCCACTATGTGGAACCCCCAAAACTCATCGATCCCTAAAACCACTCTGAAAACTCACAACCAAATTTGTGAAATGGACCAACGCAGCATTGGAGTCCTTGGAGGGTCCAACCTCCACCCTTTCACGGGAGGACACTCCCGTCCTGGCAGCGACCAGCTGCATGGGCTCCAAGGCCATCTTCTGCGCCAAGCGCCGGCGGCTGGAGAGCTGTGGCCGGTCCAAGGGTATCACCGTGCGGTCGTGGCGCTCAGCCCACCTGAACGGCTGGAGTGGCAAAGTGAGAGCCCAATGAAATTCGGAAACGAGCGCTTACCATCCTTACTGACCTTGCCTTTACAAGGTGGAACCAACACATACGCGAGGCCAACACCTTCTAGCACAAAATACTTTCAAACTTCTGACATAAGGTCTTTGAACCCTTCTGCAGCGTCTCTTTTCCCGGAATGTCACTTTTGCACACAACGTCTCTTCTCAAGAATCGTCCCACCACGCTGGCCGGTGCGACGAAATGGTGCGAGATGAGTCTATAAAAGTACGAATTCATAATAGCCAAGAACTTCATAAAGCTCTAGGATAAAGCTGTACCGCCCAAAAGCTGTACCTGTGAAATTTCGACCGTAGCACCCAAGCGCACTCCGGCCTGATGGCCTCAGCGCACTCCGGTGCGGCGTCGGCAAATTCGCTCCTGGCTCGGCGTCGGTGTGGTGCCGCGATCGACCCTCGTTTTGGACTGACGCTTGGGCGATCGACTGATCTCCCAAATCCGAAAACGGTCGAAAACGTCTGCGAGACGCATTGGGCGTTTTTCAATCCAGCCTGGTACGGACATTGAAGAAGTCTTCTCGACTGAGCTCGATGAAAATGGCGGCAGGCTGAAAATCCTGCAAATTGCCAAGAACAAACACGAGCATTCTCATCATTCTCCAATTCTTCGCATCACGTGACTTGGCGTTCTTCTAAGTGCCCTTGGCCAAACAAATTCCAGGAAATGCCAAGTCAAGAAGATTTGAATTATGTTGCGCCTTAGCCACATGCACTGGTGCTAGGTGACACAAAAAACCAACAACCACGTCTCGTCACATCAGTATGTGCCCCCACTCGCACACACTGCAGCACCCTTCGTTACATGTCGGCAATTCATATATCACCAATCTACACATTAAGTTTCCATTGGCATCCACTAGCACACCACACTGCCAAACAGCGAAATGCTAATCTGGAGTCTTCTGGCAGGAAGGCTGTAAGCAAAGTTCTTGTGGATTGATTTCGACGTGGAAGGGCGTTGACGGAGGCTAGGGTGGTGCCTGAACACAAGCCGCTGTAGTGTGGGTGGTGTGGGTGCACAAGGTTTGGGTTGTGCGTATGCAAGCCTAGCTTGGTGAGCCATGCTAGGCTCCAGGTCATGACAAACATTATAACATGACAAACCACCAAAACTCTTGACCAGAAGTCATCATCAATTGTCGTGCCACCTCGCTGTGCCATGCATCACCTGTCATAAAAACTTGAAAACTATACGACACATGGGTAGTTAATCATCTTTCATCACATGTCTCGTCATTCTCGAACCAATCGCCAGGTCATACAAGCCAACACACTTCAACCTTGGAGCCTCAGATGTCCATCGATCACTCTGGCGAGCTCCTCCAAGAGCCTTTTCAAGGACTCCACAGGCCGCCCATGTCGGAGCCCACAAATCAGCAACCGCCAGGGTCGGGCAGCCACTGCTGCTAGGGTGGCCATAGCAAAAGTGGAGGCCAAAACCACATTGGCACAATCGATGGAGTGGCTGAAGCGTGCCACAATACCTTATCCAAATATATCCAAATGCAATTTTTCTTTATGCAGTAATTCAAGATGTGACCATTCCGGCCCTGAGTGAGAGTAAGCTGCTGTCTTCTCGTGCCTCTCTTTTCGTCTTTTGTGGATTTTTGTGGCGGGTAGCTCAAGAAGGGAGAAGCTATCAAGGTACTTGTCTGTAAGCTGGCGCTGCAGTGCCCTCCAATTCTCTAGACATGCACGCTAAGCTGACTTTTAAAAGCTTGAACACTTGAAGCGGCAGCGCTTCTTTTCATGTGATTAAGCATCTTCAGACCCATGCAGTCTTCAGCATACCAAGGATTTCATGTTGCTCCACACCCTTCCACGTCACCACGTCCTCCGAAACTCCTGGCAGCTTTTTCTTTCTATTCAATTAGCCCACACGCTCTGCATTCTCCAAAACCTAAACCAATGCAGATCACACATGATCATACACGAATCATTGATTTCAGGCAAAGCTCTTTGGCTCTCCTTGTTTGTCTGGAGTTGCTCTCGCTCTCGTCTAAGCCAGTCGTGTGGATGGTGCGCAGCAGCGGAAGCCCAAGCAACGGCCCTTGGCCTCAGGGATGCGTCCCCGGCGGTAGCTGCTACGAGCCAATTGTGGGCCGCCCACCCAGCTGCCGCCACGCTCGCTTTTGGCGTCGCCCGCCTCGTTTGATATTTTTCCCCAAAGGATTGGAGACTTTTTTTCGATGCTTCGACATCTGACACATTCTCACACAATATTTGTTTGTTGACCAACCACTTTGTGGAACTCCCAGTGCCTCGCTGTTCCATGCATTTGGTGCACTGGCATCGGAGGAGAGGTAGAAATTCTCATGGTACGTGTCACGGCACCACTGCCATACATTTCCAGCCATGCCCCGCAGGCCGAATGGAGATACACCCATCTGAACGTTCACGCTCACCAACGGCAGCTCAGTTAAAGGAGTTGCGACATGACCTCGAGTCTGCGATTGACTATGGTTGATTGCTGGCTTTGACACCCAAATAAGCCAACAAACATTGAAGCTAAGAACAGGTGGTTGGTAGCTAGCTCATAACTCGTGACTCATGTCCATGGAAAAGTCGTGAAAAGTCTACCGTTCGGCAAGAAACTCACTCCTTCGTACACACTAGCATCCCAGCACACATTCAGGAGCTCTTCGCTGGCGTCCGTGTTTCCCCAAGGGAATCGAGCAGGGTTTGCTCCACGTGCGCCGTATTCCCATTGAGCTTCCGTGGGAAGAAAGCTTGAAACTGCGCTCTTATACTGGGACCAATCCTCTCCATGTGCCCACAAGGCCTAAGCTGCGGCCTATGCTTCGGACCAATCTTCATGCATCGGAGGCAGAACGACTGACCTCGTCTACCGCTTATTACCTCAACCACACAATGACGGTAAAGAGATGTAAAGAGCAACCATTGAATGGCAACTTTTCGTGAGACCATACAATGTCACATTGGCCAAGGCACATATGCATTGGCACCATACCATGAGACCAAAATCATGGGCCAACTCACTGGGACGCCACTCTTGACTTGCCAACCGTCTCCACTCTCGGCCCGCATGATCGGGATGTGGCAGCATCTCTCATCCTTTCAAGAGAAGGGTTTTCCTTGTACTGCATCAATTAGGCAATGTCCGATCACACACACATGGATAATCAAATTAGTATATAAATATATAGTATAGATGAATACTTGACTTGGGGGTTGACCACACACACACACACTTACTGAATATCATTGAGCGCTTTTTGATCCTGTATGCAATCCATGCTATTCTACATGCAATGAGGAACCTGAATTCTGCTGGAGATCCACTCTCGACAATCTTCAAGACTGAAGCTTCTACCGCAGTCCTCCTCCGGCAAAATGCACCAGTCAAGCAACTGTTCTTGGCTTGGATGGACCATGCTCAAGAAGCGGGCATACGCACCCACACTTACAGGTTCAATATCCATCAAGAAACTCTCCAAATTCACCTCGTGGCTCGGGCCTTCATTGTCCCCACCTTCAAACTTCCCGTCATCCCCAATTCGGGCGCAGGCGGCTGGAATCAGCACGCACTCCATGCCATCGCTGCTGCGAATGAACACATCATCCATGCCTGACATGGCGCTGAGAGATACAACCAATGAACCAACTAACCCTTTACTTTAAAGGTTTTCAAACAAACATGATCAAACAATTGGATCACTTGCATACACGAGCCCTCACCTGTGGTTTCATAGCTGACGGTCGTGACTGCGTCTGAGGCAACGTACTCTGTCAGCTGAGTGAAGCGAGAGACGTAGGCAGATGACTCTCCAGTGCTCCCACCGAGACGTGTACCTCGAGAGTCGGGCGAGTGAGTCGAGTACCCACGCCGGCGAACCTGGGTCGAAGCTGGGTCGAAGCTGTGGGATCCGAGGAATCCTAGTGGACCCTGGCCGACCATTCGCCACGGCAAATAACATGAGCATTTATTTGCACATGTCGAGCCTTACCCACTTACCGTTTACTATGCACGAAACACGGTCACAGGTTCTGCATTTTCTATGTATAGGGATGAATAGGGCCATAGGATTTGTAGACGTTTGTAGTGTGAAGGCAGTTATCTGCCGCCAAAAGTCATAACAGAACCGAAGGCTTCGATTGTGCTTCAGTAAGTGTCTGAAATTCACCAGTGAGTGAGCCACTCTACACCACAACCATCCCTGTCCTCAACATCCTCAACCATGACCCCTTTTCTATCCGTTGCCAGCTGATCGACTGGTGCCCTCGCTGACGGCAGGTTCCACGTCCGCCTTTGGCAGGTTCACGATGGCTTCGGAGAGCTGCTCAATGCTGGGGTGGTCGAAGATCAGCCGAGGCTTGATGTCCAGTCCAGGGAACTCGCGACGCAGCTCGAAGCTATCCTAGCCCAGGACGCGATTAGATGCAAAATGAACCTGCTTGCTCTTCCCCTTACAACCCGCAAAACCTCCAAAACCTGGAACTGAGAAGCGGTCTGAATTTCAACACCGGGATTGGTGCGGCTTAACGGGTTTTTTTGAATGATTGTGAAGAAATCCTCAGCGAGGGAGATCGGCCATCTAAGCATTGCCATCGGATTGCTGGATATTGCTGGGACCTCGGAGACAAACAGTCCAGCAGTCCAACCGGCACCATTGACAGCACTTGGCTGCCTCAACTCCCAAGAGCCGTGGTAGTTAGAGGAGGGGTAAAGATGGGTCAAGGGCTTTGTGTGAGTGATCCGCGGCCATCTCCACTTCAGCCTTCCAAGTTCGACAAGCTGCGCCAATCATCTCCAAATTGATTCTGTGAATTTGTTGAGCCAGTGACACCAAGAAAAGTGAATGAACGCACAATAGATCCTCAAACCAGAATATGCAGGTTCGTTTCGGGCAGCTGAAATCGAACATCTTGCAGTTCTTCCAGATGGTTCGAGGAAGATTCTGGTGTGGTTCCGGTTCAAGTTGAAGTTTAAGGTGAATGGCTTGGTTTGGTTTGGTTTGGTTGTTGGTCTATACAACTGGGTGAGGTAGGAGCAAACTGTGAGGTAGGGCTTGACCAAGGCGAGTCTCTGCCATGATGAATCTCGAGTCACGACGACCAAGGATATTCTCACGCGTGGACAAAGGCAACTCATCGTTTTCGGGGTCAAAGTCGCTATCAACATCCAGGTCTTCCGCCTTTTTGCTGCTGTCTTTGCGCATCAGGCCTCGGTTAAAGACTTTCGAGACCTTCTGCATTACCTGGCGCAACATGCCGCCCTTCCCTGACTCAGCCATGATCAGCCCAGCCGGCGCAAGGAATGGAAAAGGGCACAGCAGTGGGCAAAAAGGACAGTCATGAGGTATCATGAGGTCAATATTTGGGATGGGCAAATCATGTTCATATATGTGTGTGTTCATGTTTCGTCTTATTTTTGGAGGAGGTCTGTAAGCCTAAACAGCATCGGCGTCAAGCTTGAGAGATTCCAAGATATTCCACACGTGCGGATTCGGACCTCTCTCCCTTCTAGGCGGTCCCTTTTAGCACTGCCTTTGGCATTGCAACTTCGTTTCTGCGACGGTCAATGATCTCTACATCCCCAAGAGGTTTTTGCTTATATTTGGAAGAATTCTCAAATCTTACCTAACTTTTCTGATCACATTGATTCCACGGTGGACGATCAAGGGGATGCACAAAAAATTAGCGTCTTGCATTGACTGGAGGCAATCGCAGTAGTAGACATGGTGCCATTCCAGCTGCGGATTGTCGTTAACAGTGCCTGCTCGGCAATCCTCGATCTACGCTTTACATCTCTACGATCTTGGGGGTGTCGAAGTGAATAGTACGTTGCTAGTACCTGACATGCAAACCAACAGCGATGCAACTTCATGAGCGCTGAACTGAAGTGGCAGTCGTGGCCATTCAACACCCCAAAGAACGACCTAGCTTCGCTATGCTTCGCTGCACTTGGCCCTGTAAAGGCTGCCATCAAGACGGGTTCCAGGCACTGCGCTTGGAAGTGTTGAAGCTCTCATCAGTCTGCCTGACAGGAAGACCAGCGTCAAACACCCATGGTATAAATGAGTAGTTAAACCAAATAAATATCCACACACACACACATGTATGCACTTAGCACAGGTGTATGATGTCCCTCTCTGGTGCATGTCTTTCGCTTAGCTAAGAAATGCTCAGAAACTTCTCTCAGAAAAAAAGAAGCGGGTGCCTACCGAAGGTCTTCTCCTCCGGGTCAGACTGCCATGCTGCCCGAGCTTTTCCTGGCCACAGATTCCAGCCCTAGGTTCCGGTTCCAGGATCAATCCTGGGAAGAACAGCGTATGAAAAGATTCACGTGGTGTCAGGCAACTCAGGAGCGCTAGAGCGACAACCGATGACGAATGCTTAGCATACCTCAACCGAGCACTCTAATCATTAATGGTTTCAAAGAAACACTGAGACGCTCAAACCACACCAAACAATGCAAAAAAACGTTTGTGACCCAAAACAGCAACACAACCAGAACCTCTTACACATCTCTTAATGTATTGGTACACCTTCATTATCCTTCAACGCCCAGTGCCTAAAACTGGTGGTCTGTCTGCTATCATGAGCGAGCCTCGCCGCATCTTCCCATCCTGTGCCGTGTGAAGCGTCTGCTGGCCGGTTGAATGGTTCTCTTTGGTTGGTCAACAGGAATAACTACATAAGTGCTCGAGAAAGCAAAGGTCAATAGAATCTTAAAGAAAGGAAAGGAAGAGACTTACTGTAAAAGAACACATTGTTGCACAAAGTTACTTCCAACAACGTTACTAACCGCAATTTTAGAGAGTTTACTTAACTTTCCCCGTACCATCCGTTCACCACCTCTAGCCATGCCAGTAGTCCAAAAAGTATGGAGTCCTTTTATTTTCTTCCTTTCTTTTTTGTTTTATGCCTTTAGACATCTTTAGATCCCGTGTTCCTGCTACGCCAAACACCCAATACCCTCTCCGAAGAGTGCACAGCATTTGATTTAGTCTATAATAGTCTATATATATATATAACCTCTTCAGGATTGGAAGGTCTCCTCTTGCTCTGTTGTCATCTAAACCCTCTAACCCTCCCTCCTTCCCAACCCCTCAAGGGCAGCGTCGAACAGCTGTACATCCGCTGGAAACAGCTGGACACACAGGTGTCTGAAAGAATACTGTAGATCTAGTAGCTTCCAGCTACCATATAGTAGTTTATAGTAGTAATGCCCTTGGTACTAGTAGCGATGCCCTTGTTAACAAAGAGTCGGGATCCCCTCATTTGGAGACAAGTGTCCACTTCCACACGCATCTCTCTGTGCTTTCCCGCCTGGACCCGACGCTTCTTCTTTCTTCGAACTCCTGAAGCTGGCGACTGCTTGTGCAAAGCCTGCAAAAGATCCCAAAAAAAGCTCAGTATAGTTGGTGTAGTTAGTATAGTAGTATGCTAACTATATCCACAACAGTTCAGTATAGTTATGTATATAATGTTATATCGTGTATAGTTCAGTTGTGATTTCAGTACGGATGCTCGTGGTGGTCACCGGTCCTTGGACGCCCGCATAGTGGAATCCCTCCGAGAAGGTTTGAGCCATGGAGTCGCCTCAAATGGATGAGTGTGAACGGCAGGAACAGAACAAAGGGTATCGCTACTAGTAGCAAATACCAGTAGCTAGCTCTTGGCAAGGACGCTACGAACGGGGCTCCTGGCATTACAAAATGGTCGACCTTTCCAGATCGTTGAGAGGTTTCCGACTGCGTTTCGTTTGCAGCTCTTGTCGGGGGCAAAAATACGACCGTTGAAAGGTATTGAAGTCAATCAATTTGGAGGCGCAAGTTGTTAGGGTCCGACATGATCTCCGGTGTTCAATCAAGCAAACTAGCAACAAACAAAAAACAGATGGTGAGACTCCGAACAGAAGAAATACACTATTAAAAGGACTAACAAAACATTGTGGAGCCGCTCATTTGAGCTGCTAGTGACTAGTGACTGGTGTTTATCAAACGAAAGTATTGGGAGACAGAACAGCTGATTCTCTCACTAATCTTTCTGCAGCAAAGGGGCCACGACCAACAGATGACAACGATGTGGAGCCTGGCCACACCACGCAAACCAATGATCAATAAACTGCCGTGTTCAACTCTGACTGATGCTAGCATAAACAGTCATAAACACCAAATCAAAACAAGCATGCGCCCAAATCATGTTGAGCTGACTACCCTCAATGGCAATGCTTGCTGGCCTAGGTCGGTGCCAAAGCCACTGTGAAAGGAAGTCGCGGTTGCGAAGGACCCTGTAGTCGAGCTAAAATCCTCCACTGAAACTCCAGGTGCATTGAAGTGAATCTCCAGTCTCCAAGCTGTGTTGTTCAAGGAAAAATTGAGGACTTCAGAACTACTCAGGACTCCTACTCACCTCAAGCTCCGTGTTTCACCCTTGTAAGCTCTATCGACTGCTCCTGAAGACCAAACTTCCTCGACACCCTCGGAGACCTGCCCAAGGACCGATCAATTTGGACACGTTTGCATGCTTCTTCGCTTACACATCTTGAATATTGCTTCAAACAGATTCGTAAGACTTCACATTATGATTTCGTATGTGTCTGTGTCATTTACAACTTCAACAATCTTGCGAAGAAAACGTCTGAAAGAAACTAACGTAGTGTTCCTACATCCAAAAAAGAAATCACACACACACACACACACTTCAGTGCTTTTCAGTATTTTTCAGTCTTTCCAACTCAGGCCAAGGAATCTGTCACCGAAGAGATGACATCAAATCCAACATCCTCACGAAATCTAAATACATTAAAGAACAACAAACCGTCTTTGCTTTCTTTGCTTTCTATTTTGGAGGCACAAACTGCTTAAGGCTGGCCGCCTTCGTGGCTCCATGGGTGTCATGATGGGTCGGAGCATGCTTTGAAGGTTCTTCGTCGCCTCAATCGATTGGGTCAGCGACTCTCTGAATCCGATTGGGTCAGCAATTTCCTAATTGGGTCGAGCATGGGATGCACCAAGAACAAGCATAAAGTCATCTAAACACCCGCACATGTGAGATCTGATGCCTGGGAACAAAAGAATTCCAACTTTGTCACTTATCTACAGGGAGGCTGCCACTTCTCGTACCTGTAGACCACACAACAACATTCCACACAATACCCACACGCAATCTAATCGTCACTGCTTGCACAATGCTCTAAACTCCTCACCAAAAACTTGATCTGAGATCTTGCACCTAGGTCTGGGACCAGGTTGACCTTGAGTGTTGCACAATCGAGACCTTGATGGCCTTCTTGGCCTTCCAACCGGAGGCTTCCTTCGAACTGTTCCAAGTGTTCATTCGCCGTCCCAGGCATTCGCAACCAAGTGGGTGTTCGCTCAGTACGCCCGTACGCAGTACTAAGGTTCCCAAGCTGGCCGAGAATTGTGTGTTTGATCTTCGCCTGATTCCTGCTAAGCAACTGCTTCGCTCTGCTGCGCAAGGATCACAAATGCCAACACGCTGACTCACGTTGAGAAGCAGGTCCGGTTGCTCCACCCAAAACCGTAAGCACCTTATGGGGGCATTCTATTTTCAAACCGTTCACAAGTCCTTGAGCCTTGTGCGGTGATGGCATGTTCTCAAATGCACCATCCTTTTTGTGTCAGAAAACTGCGCCTAAATTGGCTGAAAGGCCCGCACCATTGCCAGGATTGTGAAAGGGCACAAAGCTCTCGATTCTGTGCTGAGAATTTACACAGCGTTTGTGCATATCCTCTCACATCCCAGCATGAAATGGTTTCTTCTCGCTCACAATCGCGAGGCAGCGAATCTTTGTAGAATGGATGCAACCTGTCGGAGTCTGCGGGAAGTGCTTCAACCCAGGCAGCCCAAATAACATCATGACTGGATACGATAGACCCTTTCTCGAAGCCCCCCAAAAAGTGCGCAAAGTATATCGTCATCTCATGTGTAGGCGTTGTCATCTTCTATTCATTAGTGTCACAGTGTCACTCAAAATATTGAGCTTCAGTACTTTCAGTGGCAATGCTTTCAGGCAACTGTCTGCAGCCACACGTGTGCCATGTAAAAGGCAACCCTGGAGTCCGGTGCTGGCCGCCTGGTTCAAGTTCTTCCGCCGCGCCAACGACACAGCGCTCTGCCCTCAAGATTTCGGTCGGAAATGGACTCATGCTAGGTCCTGACATCATTGACACCTGTCTTCAAAAGCGAATCTGTTTGCGTCGTTTTCTACGGCAAGCTTGGGTGAAACGTTGAACTGATTTCACGGTCATCACAACGACGGAAAGTCGAGACCAGCGGCCCATACTTTCTCGAAACTTTGTCGAACCCTATTGACTGAATGGAATGTCACCCTTGTCGATGTGTCCCCTCAAAGAATGACGATACAAGTACCTTGCAGCCTGCAAGTTCGGATGATCCACCCAAAGTAAGAGACTTGAACAACGCTTGTATGTTTGATGCCATCGCTAGTAGGTTGGAGGTCAAGAGAATTGAACCACTAACAAACACGGCTCATCCCAGCTGTTTCCAAAGTCGCCATTCTTGTCCATGGCATTCGGGTCTGCTTTGGCAGCACACAGCTGCTCCACCTTGTTTGAGAGAAGCAAGGAACAAGAAGCAAGGGCTTGGCAATCCATGCCATTTACCAAGTCGAAGCTGCGTAAATCGCAAACTTGTCGAGGAACCCATCAATTTCAAAGAAAACAAAGGAACTGTATGGAACTGTGACAAAGGGGTTGCTTTCAGGCAAACATCAGGACGACTTTTGCCTATTCACGCTGCAAAAAGGACCAGGCCAGGAATCCAGAAGATTCTGCAACAAACACCTGCATAACCATTGAAATGAGTCAGGCAGCACCCATATATAGCAGGCGAGTGTCAAACTTCAAATGTATGTTGGAAGCTTCCAGGTTGTGTTCAAGCCAATTTCCATGCCCCGCCACCAGCTGTATCGGGCTGAGACCTCTTTTGGAGTCCTGAGTCAACGGAAGGACTTTGCCAGGCAAGTGGACGAGGTCTGCAGTCTCTGACGCTCATGCACGTCACATCAAAAAGAAAAGCAAACACAAACATATTTGCATGTTGGCATGCTTCCCCTGCCTCTCTCGCTCATGTGTTGGTTTTGTATGGCTTGGCTTTGGTTGGGATACGGGCGCATGGCGTGGTGGGTGGGTGGGTGGGTGAGTGGGTGGGTGGGTGCGTGGGTGGCCACGCACCTCTAACTGAAGCTTCTCACACATGTGATCTAACATCTCCTTCTACATGGCAAGAACATGTCTGGCAGTCTGAAGTAGGGGCGCGACAGTTTTGGTTACACAAAACCATTGCTTGTCAAAAACCCCTGTCTAAGAACAAACAGAGTCCTTTGAGCATCTACCAACCTCTAGCTTCCAGCAAAGCATCCATGACATTCGGTGGTACCGCAGGCGCCAGCAACGTGAGACACTTCAAATAGCGTTCCGGTTGCCCCTTCCTCAGTGTGAACGCAAAACGCGGAAGCAAAATGGAAGGAGTCGTCTTCCTGCACTTACAAGAAGGTGAAACATTATCAAATTTGTTGAATCTATAATAACAATTTATAGCGAAGCTGTGCAACCAACCTATCACACCTTGCCCCACTTGCTTTGTGTTGTCTTCTTCGCCAGGCATCGGAATGTTCAAGATCCCCAAACACAGCAAATGCAGTAGTGTGTTCCCTGAACTTGTTTTCACCGCTGAGAGCTCTTGGTCGTAGTGCTCGATAAGAGCTTCCAAGCCCCTGGGAAGGAATGACCACCAGGTTCACAGGGGGCAATGTACCAACAGTCCCTTCGTGTTGGGATCCTAAAATTGTTGCTTTCTCATACGCACATCTGCAACACAAGCACACACCTCCACATCTCTGAAGTTTTATGTGAGTTTGTGTCCAAAGCACAAACATAACAAGCTGCCTTTCTCTTCTAACTTCAGCTGTGTGCGTCTTCCGACGTTCTGTTTTGAGACACAAGAACGTGGCAAACTGCAGGTGGGCGACCTATGATACCCACCAAAGGCTGCCAGCTGCAACTCGTGGCCTGTCACTCGGGCACCCTCTTTGGCCAGCCATCGCACCATGTGGCCCTGGGATGACATGCCGATGCAGCTTGACCACAAAGGAGCCCTGCTGAATAGGGATAATAGAGGATTGCAAAGATATTATTGAACAGGGGTGCCTTTTGAATAGACTTGTTCCCAACAGGTTCATCAATGACCTTCAGAGTCCATGAGGATCAAATCAGGGCGCCATCCTCGTGTGTTCTCTTAATGTAACATAATGAATAATGTTTCATATACCGTATACATATACAATATATATATATATTAAAAAACAAACACATTGTACACATGTCATATCAAAAGTAGGTTCCGGCTCCTACAGTACTTCTGCAGGCCTGGTCGGACAAAGCTGCGTAGACCAAGACGGACCAGCCGAAGGGAGTCTCGGCGTGCACATCGGCGTTGTATCCTCAAAATGCGATGTAGTGGGCTTGGGAAAGCCACGTCTTCGCTTTCCACCTATAAACCTTAAAAAACATGACATGATTCGGGGCTTTAAGCTTAGAAGCCAACCTCTTCGTTGGGACCTCATCTGCACCTAGAGTGCCAACTTGGAGGAATCTTCAAGTACCTCAAGGATGGTCCCCTCGTTGTGAAAAGGAATGCAGTCCTGATAGTTTCCATTTTAGATCTAAGTATATACAAGAAGCTACTAGGGGCTCCTGACCTTACTGGGAGCAAGGACGCTACCAGGGGCTCCTGGCATCGCTGCTAGGAGCAAGGACGCTACTAGGACTCTCCGGAGTGCTTCAAGAGCCCTAGCACCAAGACAACGCTGCTGGACGTTTGGTATCTTGCACAAATGAGGTGGCACGGCGCGTGCTTCGGAGAGAACTGGTTTGCTTAGCTCATGAATTGCCCAAAGTTTGAGATTCCATTCAAACAGGTCAACCTTCCTTCTAATGACCGTATGGCCCTCCTCCAAATAAGTGTGGGGATATGAGGGACTGTCAGAAATCTCTGTTCCCAGCCAAGTTTGGAGTCGTGCTGCATGCCACCATATCCATCCATTTCTTTTGCCCACATCTAACTCCTTGTGATCCTCCTTCAGACTCTTTTTTTCCTCTATGGCATCTATGGCCTTCTCCAGCTCCCAAGCCCAGGCACTCACCAAAAGCTCGGCTGCTTCGATGCACCCACCCTTGGCCGCGAACATCAAAGGCACCGCGCCCACGTAGTCCTCCTCGCAGTCGCCCCGTTGCCCCAAGGCAGTCTCTGCGAAGCCAAACCAGGTCACGATAGAGGGCTTGTTTACAGATGCCTCCAAGTGTTTAGGACTAAAGTTATGGTTGGAGGCCATCGCTATTAGCTTGGAGGCTATCGCTATTAGGTTGGAGGCTATCTAAGTTATGACCCCAAATCTCTAAGAACAAACACCTCTTCTGAGTTTTGTTAACAGCTCCTCGACGGCGCGCGAAGGCAACTCAATCAAAAGGCGCTGCAAAGCCTGTGCAAGTTCAAGGGACTCTCACCAACGAGCTTCAGGACTATGCTTGACAGGTGGAAATCGTCTGGCATCAAACCAGCGGTAACTAACCTCATGTCAAAAGACAATGTCCAAAGAGACGACACGTGATTCAATCTGATTCAAATTTAGTAATGTGGTAAGATACAAGTACAATACGTCAGGGTGTCTACCCTAACCAGGCCACTAACCAGCCCCACTAGCACCCACATGTCCATATATATCCATGACCTTGACGTCTCCCAGCTCGGCTGCAGCTGCAGTCTGTGTCTTCACGCGCTTGGGGATCTTGCCACCGAAGGGACGCAGCAAATCTTCGTAGACCTCGATTTGGGCCAGCTGAGGGTCTTCAGTCGTTGTTCAGGGAACTGGACTCCCAGAAGACATTGTCGCCTTTGTTCCGTTCGGTTCGCGTCCTTGTTCCTAGTAGTAAGGCCAAGAGCGCCCCTAGTAGCGTCCGACCGCTCCTAGTAGATTTTTCGAACATATTGGGAAGCTTCCGCGTGGAAAGCAGGTCACTGCAGTGATGATCGGCAATGGCCGGGCTGCATGAAAAATTTGTCTGATCATTCTGTTCTCAGCGACGGTTTTGTGGACAGAATCTACTCCGACTCACGAACATGAATTGATCCACTTTGCCGATTATTTTCCCGGATTGTATCCACTTTGCATTTGCAAACTCTGCAGGCAAATCTAGATCTGCTGGGGTAGCTGGGGTGTTGTGCTTTGGCCTGAGCAATGGTGGTGGCTACAGTGGCGGGGCGAACAACGAACACGCTGTGACCAAATCAAGAGCTTGCCTCATTCTGCCATCACATCAACATGCCTTGTGATTTGGCATGTCTGCTAGAACAAATGGGTGCGGCAGGAAAATAGGGGAGTACAGTTACAGAATCGATTTGATTCTGAGCCTGCTTCCTCCCGACATATATATATATATAATATATATTATAGTTTCAGGCAACAAATCCAACGGATGAACTCTCCCTTGATATCCCTTCACTGCTTGGTCGACGGATTCTGAGTCAACAAACTGCTGCAATGGCTTGGAAGAGCTCGGTGGCCGCGGAACGCTCCGCCTCGCAATGACCAAAACCGATCTCCTAAGGTCCTAAGGTTCTTGTTTTGAGAAAACTCCTGTAAGGAGAAACTCGTTTAGAACCACAGACTCTTGACGAAGTCCGCGAAACTTTGCAAATTTCGACTTTACACACAATCTTGCGGTCGAGAAAGAATTGTTTGGTTTGGATCGCAAGACAATCTTCCCAAGTGTCTAATCTGAAAGGCTGAAAGGACCATTGACCAACAATGACCAGGTCGGTCAACAGTTCTGTGATCAGAGCTTCCAAGAGTTGGCCTTAAGCAGCTTGTCTGGGTGATACTTCAGTGCCAGTCTCAAATAGATCTTCCGCAGCTGCGTGTCATCGCAGGGCAAAAAGGGCTCAAAGAGAGCGCGGGCATCCTTCAGGTTAGAATTCGTGTCTGTAGTCGAAGCAGCCAAAACATCTATATACGTATTGTCCTCCTTTTTTCTTTTTTAAAGTTTTCATGGTTACTGAGTCACTGCCTCATTTTGAAGTCCAATTTTTTGGGGGCAATGCTCCGGATGGCTGAATTTCTGCCTCAAATTCCGAAGCCTGAGGAGCTAATGCCTGTCAAGTTAACTTCCAAGAAAGGAAACTCTTGTGCTTTGGAGGCCAAAACATGCCAAAACAAAAAAAAGGCAAAATGATGCAAAATGAATGCTGGAAGACAAAGGTTTAGCACTTGCTTGGGCCTTCCCAGTCCTGGATTCGAGGCAAGTCCAGTCGAACGTCTGGAACACCTTCTGCCAAAGCCATGCATGGCGGCCCACGGACCAGTCAGCGGCTTTCTTTCTTTGGTCAAGTGTTCTCAATCGCTCCCAAAAACATTCTGTGCACATTGTAAAGCCTTTCCAAGGACAAACATCATATGCCTATATGATAATATCATATGCCTATATGCAACCAAATATCGATGGCGACACCTCCTGCAACAGCCATCAGTGTTAGCTTTGCAGCTTTGCAGCGACGGACTGTTCTGGACTCGTTGCAGGTAGTCCCGAGGCATAGCTCGGTGTTGGATGTTTCTCACTGAGTTGAGCCAAAACAGCTATGCATGCGTATTGATCTCACCGTGTCGGCCGGCTCTGTTTGGGCATGTGGATACAACTATACAGCAGGGTACATCTGAGTAACCCAAAGCTTAGCTCATGGAGAAGAACACTACAACTTGTGGTCCTTTGCTTTCTTTTTGCCACCCTGTTCGTGCCATGATTATCAGGCACCAAAAGCCAAAGAGCGAAGTGGGCCGGGCCCTAGCTCTCCATAGCAAAACATCTAGTCCCACATGAACCAGGATTAGGGCATGAAACAGCAGCCCACCCCTCTTGCGGCTATCTTTATGAAGCCAAGATGCTTTGAAACATTTGGGTTGGGGAGCTCCGTCTTTATCCCTAAGGCTGTGCCACTGCACCGCTCCTGAACCTCCTCAAGCATCTCTGAATCCCAGGGGTGTACTTGGTTGTCAGCCGAATCCTGGCAAGCCGATTGATGAGAACAACAACACGTGGAGCTACTGCATAGTTTGCAAATGGCCTACAATCTTGTTCTTTACCTTGCCAATGATGCTGACCGCGCAACAAACTTCAGAATAACCTTTCACCAAAGTATGACTTCAAAACTGTCCTCTGATGAAGATGCGACCTGGGACAGGAAGGCTCCAAAACCCCAGAAACAGGTTTAAGAACCGCTGCCATGACTTATCCTGTTTTGCGAGGCGACTTCCACAACCAATGTTTTTTGATAAGCGCAACATGATCTGATTGCCAGTCGCTATTGCGTGGTGCCATTTTCCTTTTTTTGCGGGCTTGTGGCCCCCGGCGGCACTCTCTGTTTGAGAGATCCCTGCCATGTGCCAGTTGTATGAGGCGACGCGAAACCTTGATGCTTTACTTGACAGTCCCAAGTCCAAAGTTCTTTTGGAATGGAATGTGGCAACTTTCGAGGGTTGTCAAGAATCGATGATCGAGAAGCGAGGAGTAGGAGTAGTAGGAGCAGTAGGAGCAGCAGCAGCAGCAGTCAAGCAGTAGTAGTAGTAGTAGTAGTAGTAGTAGTAGTAGTAGTAGTAGTAGTAGTAGTAGTAGTAGTAGTAGTA